TTTTTTTTTTTTTTTTTTTTCCCAAACCACAAAAAAAAAAAAAAAAAAAAAAAAAAAAAAATAAAAAAAATAAAAATAAATAAATAAATAAAAATAAAAGTAAAAATACATAAATAAATAAAATAATAATAATAATACTTGTTCTACTTATTTTTCCAATTTTAAATACTATTTCTTAAATAAACAAAATAATATCTCTTCTATGTCACCAATTGAAAACATTCAAGCATAAAGATTCAGCTACAGAAAGTCTTAATAGGTATAAAGCATTTTTGTTCTGGGAAATTTCCAATCGATACATATTCTTATATTTGGCTCGCTCATGCAGAGGCCACACTTGCTGTGATTTGTTTCCCAGAAATTTTCGCTAGTCTTTTTAGTGCCGCTTGAGTGGAATTGATGTCATGTTCGAAATCTGGCACCAATTAATAATATGTGCCCAAATTTTCGGACAAATTTGTGATGCATGCGATGCTGGGGCAGCTGTTGCCCGAATTCAAAGGTTAAAGTTGGCATGCGGCTGAGGCTAGTCCCAAAAAGTCTGGCACACGTACTTGGGCCACAAAACTTTCATCGATTAAAAAGTTTTGCGTGCAACAGAAATATTATCAGCCTCTTTGTAAGTTTTCTTTATTGTTGCTGATGGGGGCGGGGTGAAGCCAAAGCTGAAGCCGGGGCTGAGGCTGAGGCTTGCGGCGACAGCTGTGGCCAGATTTCAAAAAGCATATTTGATTATTTGTTTGTTGCATAATAATTGGACGATAACAGCGGGGCGGGAAAGCAAATTGAAATGCCAAATCGCATGTGCCACTCGAAACGAAAATCAAATCAGGCCACAAATGTCTTGGCCAGGCCAACAAGCAAAAGCAAAAGTAGAATCAAACAGTCTCGAAGTTCTTGCTGCCAAGAGCTGACAGAAGAAGGGACGAAGAGTGCCGAGAGGAGCGCCTGAAGTCCAGAAATGTTGAAATAGAAATGGGAATTCGAGCTTCGATTTTTCCCGCTGCTGATTGCCTGACAACGATTTGCTTGTAGGTTATACGTATTGGTGCGTGCTCTAATTAACATAACCGAAAAGAAATTGCTGTATGTCGAAAGATGGGCGTGGCTGGGATTAGATACAATTTGCTTAATGCTCAAACTTTTAATCACTCATACGCAGCGTACGCTCACAGGAGATTGAGAGAGAGAGGGAGACAGGGGGAGATGACGAGTCGAGTTAAATGTGGAGTAAACAAAGTGACTTGCGAAATGAAATAAGTGTAGATACAACCAGCAAAATATAAGCGGAGAAAAAACTAATACACACACACACGCACACACACACATGTACAGTATTTAACGGACTTCATCTGTAAATTCGCACTCAGATATGTATGTATGCGCATCTGATTAAACACGAGTGTGTGTTGATGACTGTGCGTATGTATGTCATGTGTGTGTAGTTGTGTGTGTGTGCATGCTCGTCAGCATTCGCGCTGCTTGGTAATCCCCCGAAGCGCCACTCCTGCCAGCGGCCAGCACATTTCAGCTTCGCCTTAATCTTACGTTTAATTTTTTTTTTTTTTTTTGCTTTGACTTTTGCGGTCCATACACTCATAACCACACACATATACTCTCCCACTCGCACACACGTGCACACACAATAACAGTCCCAGAAAAATTCAACTTTTAATGCATATTTTCTTAGAGTTCTTTTTGATGCTCCGTAAAGAGCAACTGCATAAAGGGGTATATTCAAATGTATTGCATATGTTATCCCTAGGCAATTTATGCCCTGGATAAAGAGATAAAGTTCTTATGTGTGAGGCAATATAAAGTATTTATTATATGATACGAGAATGATTCCCTATCTGAGAAGTACATTTTATCAATAATTTAAGATTTTTCTATCTATATTCGTCAAGTAGACATATTTTATATTATTGTCAATAAATATAGAATGAATGATCTTACCAAAAAAAAAAAAAAAAATGTTAGCCTAAATGTTGGTAAAGTTTTTCAAACGGAATGCAAAGCAGCTAAACCTGATCAATCAAAAAAAAAAAAGTTTGAAAGCTTGACATCCAGATGGAGATGGGTAAAGAGTAAGCAAGAAAGGGGCTTACAAAATTTTTCGGTCCATATGACTGTGTATAAAATATAGTATATTTTATCAAGATTTTAGAATAAATATAATTTTTTTTTTCGAAAAATGTAAGCTAATACAAGTCGGCAATACACAAATCATATACAGGGTATTTGATAGTCAGAAATTCACCACTAATTTCCACTAACTTGTTTGTAGCCGTTTGTTGGCGGTGTCTTTCAGTTGGCCAAATACGACGACGACGACGACGACTACAATGTAAGCTTTAGGGCGTTAAAATGCGACAGAGTGTGTGTATAACTGGCGACCTATTTGCTTAAACATACACACACACACACACACTCACGCACACACGCCCGCCGCTTATTAACTCTCACTGGTTGGTTTGCTTGACTCAACACAGTCGAGCTTTGCTTCGGTTTGCTTTGCTCTGCTCTGCTTGGCTTGGCTTGGCTTGCTTTGGCTTGGCTTGGCTCGGCTTGGCTGACTGCCTCTCATAACACATTAGCGAAAGTGAAAGCCTCCATAACGACTGCTCCCAGTTGATTTTAATTTGCTGTGCGTGTCTGTGTCACACTGTGCGCTCTTAAGGACATAAATTTATATTAGTTGGCAACAGGATATGGCAACCGCGTCGAGCCGAGCCCAGCCGGAGCCTCAATGAGATGCAGATGAAAATGACGCTGGCATGGCGGCTGTTACGTTGGCTGTCAGCCATGATGCCATGATGCCATGATGCTCATGCTCTTATTTGTTTATATAGATTGTTAAATATTTCAAAAGTCTGTTGCAAAGCGGCTTAGTTAAGCTGCCGCAAATTAAACGACAGCGGACAGCGAACAGCGAAAGCGAAAGCGACAAAGTTGCCAAAATCGATGAGAACAATAGATTGCTCTGTCTGTGGCCAGGGTTGTAAAATACCAAAAACGCATGCTGCTTTAATGCATAGGAATCTCGTTTGAATTCTTTAGAATAATTTGCAGTCAATCTATTAAATATTGGAGTCGATGTCTATTAGCTATGTGCAGAACGCAATATTGATTGTATGTGTATGCCACTGCCAGTGTTGTAAAATAGCAATGACCAAAAAAATTTCAATTTAATTTCATTAGCAATGTATTCCAGCAAAATATGTTCTGTTCTTTTTTTCGATTTGCATTGGTTTG